TGGATACAGTTAACTGCATGAAATTATTAAGTATTTCATTTTTCTTACCTCAGGCTGTGTCTTCTCTATGGCTATTTTAATTTGTTTCATATTTTTTCTCCTAAAGACCGGGGAGAAGGGAATGGAAAAATTAAATCTGTTGTAAATCTGAGTGTTAAAAAAAAAAAGGAAAAGTTTTTGTAGAGGAAGACTAATCTTGTAGTTCCCCCTCACTTGTGAAAATAGGAAATTTTAAATAACCTGCTTGTTTTGGCTGTGCTGAATTAATAAAGGAGAGAGGAAAAACCTACCTCCCAGCTCTACTTACAAGGTAATTATGCTTGATGATGATTTACCAGCCACACCACTGTTCACACAGGCTTCATTTCATAGCAATCTCTTTGAAAGGAAACTTAATTAGTCTGTGACCCCTGCTTGATGCTGATGTTTTTGCTTTATTTTTCTACTCTGGTAGCACAAAATAAGTGTCTGCTTCTTCCATTTCTGAGTGTGGCTGACTCCTAGCACACAAGCAGTTTTCTGTCAGAGGTGGAGCACTGGGGAAAGTCCAGCAGGGCAGGAGTGTGTGAGTTTGTGTCCACTGGAGATGTTTGCTTTTAAATAAGTAAACAAATGATGAACTGACATTTGTAAAACATTCAGCTTCTTACAGTGGAGTTCAAGTGATTCATCATTAACATATTAAATTACTTCCTCTTAAAAGCTGTGTAATTCTCAAGGTGTCCCAAGCACTTGGAAAACACCTTCATTTTAAGCCCCTTAGGGGGTAAATTTTCCATCATAACCAATTAAAAAAAACCCCAAAAGTAAGTTTATTGCTGATGCACCGGGGTTCACAGGAAGTCTGGGTGTGGGCAGGTCTGTGGCTCACGGAGCTTCCCATGGCACTGGCCTTGGCACAGCACCTCCGGCAGCAGTTCCACCTGGGTGACTTCGCTCCATCAGCACCCCAGGGCTAGCCCGGGCATCTTGCTCCTGCCTGTAGAGACACGCTCTCCAGTGGGCTGGCACAGCAGGGGTGGTGCCCAGGCTCCTGCCCGCAGGGCTGTGCGGGCAGGGACCAGGATTCTGCTGCTGAGCGGCCGGGTTTGCTCAGCTGCACTCGAGTGCTGTGGAGCCCTTCAGCCAAGGTGGGCAGAGCCGTGAGTCACAAAACAAACGCATCCTTTGTCTCGGCCTCCTTGCATCGGGGCATGAGAATGCCCTGAGCAGGGATGCTGAGGGAAAGGGAGGTAGCAAGGGGTGATGTGAAGCCCCTGCAAGCCCCATCACCATGCTGAGAAACCTCCAGGAGCCAAGCCAATGATGCTCACAGGGATGTCTTGAGATGTCCTTTTGTCACAGTCCTTGACAACTAGCACAAACGTAAGGCAATCAAAACGCCACCTGGTTCTGTGTTGGGCAATGCCGAATGAATTCTTATCCATTGGCTTTTTTGGCTAGAGATGGAGTAGAGCTAGGCTAAGAAGAAGGAATTCATCTGTAAGGCTCCTGAAATCCTGTCTCAGCCTGTAGAAACGGGGTGTGGAGGCTTCAAAAGACTGACCAGCACAATGTGTGTGAGGGGTGCACAACGCACCCCAAATCCTATTTGAGGCCAGGAATTGTTGCCAGAAGAGTGTCCTTTCAAAGCCTGCATGAGGTTATCAACTAAAATACAAGGGAAGAAAGCAACCTCTGCAAAAGAATCTTCCTTTTCAACTCCCACAGTTGTGCTAAGGATCTCAGAAGTCTGAGAGTAAAGAAAGCAAGGGGAGGTCAAGAAAGCTTCAAGGGTGTGGAAATAATAGGTTGTCTGCAGCTTGTGGAGTACCAGGGGGAGGCAAGGCTACCACCTCTCCTGGGCTCTGGCAGGCTCAGCTGGACCCCCATGAGTGTAAAGAGTGTTTTGGGGGTGTGAGGGGAGAGGAGAAGGGAGAAGTTACAACCAGTTGTACTGGTTGTGACCAGACTGTCAGGGAGAGTAAGAAGTATGTGCCTCAGGAGGGACACGGATTTTTGGTACAATGAGAGCAACAGATGCCTTTCCAAAGCTGCTTAGAGCATGGAGCAAAATCTGTGGCAATGATAATTGAATACCTCAAACCTAGATAGGTCACAACTAAATTGCAAGGTTTCTAGGATGTGCCAAGGAACACCAGGTCAAGGTTGAAATTCCAGGACCTGGCTGCCTTCTTATGTGGAAATTTTGGATAATGGTTGTAGCTGTAGCTCCAGTTTCCTCAGGGGTTTCCCTGAAGCCCCGGGAAACTGCATTTGGGCCATAAAACTAATTTTAACAAGCCCAAGAAAAAGGCTTCTCTACCTCCAAATGTATTTGTTTCCATGGGCAGAGGCTGCTGGCAGCTGTGTCTCTGGGGGTTGGGAGGAGGGCTGCCCACCACTGTCACACCTGGGGGTGCCTGTGAGTTGCTTCTGTGTACAGCCTGCCTTGGGCACGCCAGCCAATTTTGCCTCATGCCTCTGTAGTCGTGCACCTGTGCCACTCTTGATAAAAACAGCTCATCTCCGTGGCATGAGGAAAAGCTCCCCATCTCCCACAGCTTCCCCTGTGGGACATGTTGGAGGATTGGCTCTCCAGCTGCTCAGCTGCTGTCATGGCCTTGGAACACCTGCCTGGTCTCTCATTGCTGATGGCGATATTGGACCACCTGCAATGGACAAGAGGTCAGGCAAGGTGTTGACCCATATGGCACATGTTAATAAAGTGGACACCAGGAAATGAACTCTGTTGGCACCAATCACTTGGAGGCAGAGGGATAATTCATAGAAATATGGCAACAATGAGGTTTTTTTAGGTCTAGACTAAATCCTTTTCCCCCTCCCTTTTCCTCTTCCTGGTCTCTCTGCTTCCCCCTGCTCTGCAATCCCATTGAATTTAGTTAAGGTACTGGAGAACCTTAGGTTGTCTGGAAACTTGCCGTTTTCCAGCTGATACCTGTGGTGGTGACTGTGTCCAGCTTTCCTCACAATCAGTAGCCCACTGGAGGTGGGCTCACCCCAAGAGAAGGGGCTTGATTTCTCCAGCTAATGTGACTGCAATAATACCTGCCCAAGGGGAGACAGAAGTCAGCCAGCTTCTCCAAGGAGGAGAAGAAAGACAGCTTGTGGAGAGGCAAGAGCTTGGGCTGGATGGACAGCCCATGTGCAAGGTGTGAGTGTTGTTTTTACACTGGACAGGGTAACACACTCAACCTTGCTTTATACACTGCAACTGGAGCAGACCCACTTTTCCATGTACGCTCAGAGTTCAAGTACTTGTGTTCAAGCAGGAAAGAGTTCTTTGCTTTTTGAACAGCTACCTGACTTGTGATGTCCCTTAGATGGCCACAACTAAAGGGTTTTTTAACATCTCTGAACTTTGCAGCACACAGGTCCATGAGCCAGGCAGTAGTCTCTCCACCTCTCAGATACGTGGGAGACCAGGATTTGTCTTAGGTTTGTCAGATTCTACAGTGTTGTGTTATAGAACACATGGCTGAACATTGCTCAGACTCAGATTTGACCTGGACAGCCTGGCTTGTCAGGAAGTTTGGCAGGGACAGAGATCCAGGTTGACTTCATGAGCCTGCCATTTTCAAATACAGAGCCATACAGTTTCATGTATACTGGGTCTGGCCTCCAAACACCTGTCTGGGACTAAAAAGTCTTCTCAACTTAAAAGTAATGGTGACATATTATTTAAAAATTCCTACACATGCTATCACACAGAAATGCTTAGGCACTGCCGATATAATGGTGCAAGCACTGGAGATGTCTGCATGCCTAACCCTCAAACCACTGCAGAAAGAGTGCTAGGAAGTGCTTGGTTCTCATCTGTCACCGTTGGAAGTCCTGCATACCCCAAAAAGGGCAGCTGCTGAGGAGGCAGGAGGTGGCATTTTTAGAGAGGTCTCACAGTGCTCTGTTCCTCAGAAAGCTCCCCTTCACTGACAGCTTTATCTGCTCATATTTCCCAGAAACTTCCTTGAAGAATTGCAAAGTCAGTGGCCCCAGCAAAAGAGAGACACAAGTGCAGGTAGTCAGGCAGAAGGACATTCAAGCAGTTTTTCCTGTTGTCTGCTCAAGCTGGGCTCACTGTAGCCTTTCTTTCCTGGTTTTTATTTTCTTAACTACCTGGTAAATACAGTTGGCTCATGGTTGTGTTTTTTAACCCTTACCCTCTCCATGCACGTGTTCCATCCCTTTGAAAGAAAAAAAGAAGTGTCCAAGCTTCTTTCTCCAGGTCTCACACCTCTGACTGATGCCTTTATACTGCTGTCTCTGGAAGGGGATGAATTTGATGCAGGGCACCTGACTGCAGGATATAGCACTCTCAGGAATTTGGTAGCCATGCTACTTGGCATGGCTCCCATGAGCCAGCTGCAACGTGAGCTGCCCCCTCCCTCCTTCTCTTCCTCCCTCACACCTGACTTGGGGGCCTCAGCTCCCATTCCCAGCAGGGGTGGGAGATGAGGCTACTCGTAGCAAAGCCCTGTGCTGTAGGTGTGTGTGGGATACAGCCAGAGCACCGTGGATGCCAGTTCACTCCCATGGTGGTGCTGATCAAAATGGCCCAGGATAGCATTCCTTGGAGCAACACTGGCTCTTTTGGAATAGAGGCGAGGTAAGGGTGCTGAACTTGTCCCCTCTCCATCCAGATGTAGTTAGTATTTCTGGCCAGGTAGAAATAACACACCATGAGCTGAGGTTGTTGTGAGTGCTGTTGTGAGGATGAAAATCCTCTTCAAAAGGGAGCTGAAGACACCAGCTGTCCCCAGAATGGTCCCAATCTTCTGTAGCTCAAGTATCAGGGAGAATTTGAGTTAGCAGATTAACACCTGGGGAGGTCTCCTCTGAAACTACGATAAAGCAAGGGATGGGAGGTGTACAGACAGGCTGGCAAGTTCTGTCTACCCTTCTCCACATGGATAATTTATGTTTCTGAGTGAAGCATATTTTACTGGTGATTTAATTGAATACTGTATTTGTTGTTTTCTAGGTTGCATGAAGAATTAAAGATGGCAAAAAGCGATGATTGCGTACACATCTTGCAGGGTCTGTTAGTCTTTGGGAATGTGGTCATTGGGGTAAGTGAAGTGGAACAAGTATGGGTGGAGGCTTCCTTCCAGTATGACACTTCTTAAAACAGTAGTTCTCCCTCTTCACTTGTGAAGTCCACACTTACATGGTGCAGTAAAGCATGAGAGAAGAGGATAAGACAAGCTGTGCTAGATGATTAATTGGGTGGGAAAGGGACAGCAGGGGCAGATCCACAATACCAAGATGGGTGCTAGGGGAAAAGCCTTAGAACTGTCAGCAGGAGCAGACCAACATTTTTCCACCCACCTCCCTCCATATAGTGATGGAATGGTTCTGTTCATTGTTTCTTAACATCCTCAAGTCATAGGCCTGACCTCTCAGATCAAAGCTGGGTGAGATTTGTCTGCAATTCTTCTGTGAAGTCCCAATACAAGAGATTGTAGAGCTGGGCAGAGCGAGTTGGGTAGCTCCCACTTGGCAGGAAGTTGAATTAAAGGAAAGCAGTCTACACCTGTTTCTGTCTTTGCTATTTCTTTGAGGAACCTTGAACAAATGGGTTTCTTGTGCTTCTCAGATGTGTGGCATTGCCCTGACAGCAGAGTGTATCTACGTTGTGGCTAACTCCCATGAGCTCTACTCTCTGCTGAAAGTCACAGAAAACAGTGACATCTACGCTGCTGCCTGGATTGGCATCTTTGTCGGCCTTGCACTCTTTGTCCTGTCTATCCTTGGTATCATTGGAGTCATTAAGGCCAGCAGGACCTTGCTGCTGGTGGTAAGTGTAGCAAAATTTGCCTTCCTACTGGTGCCAAACTGAACAAACTCTGCTTTAGTGTCCCTGGTCACCTTGGGAATCAACCAATGAGCAAAGACAGCTTTTATACTGATAAGGAGACAAAGGTTCTTCTTGATCATGGCTGTGGTGACTCCTGTGAAGACTCATGCATAAGAAGCACCTGAACTAGGTTGAGGGAATAAATGGAGATAGCCACAGTGAAGGTTTGACTGGCTTGACCCTGACCTTGCCCTGAAGCAATACAGGAGCACTTGTACAATGACCTATATCTGGGATGTGGTTTAGATCCTTGTTTCTCCCCACCCCTTACTGCTTTTCAGCTGTCATACCCTATTCAGTTTAGGAGCTGATAAAAAATGATTTCTCTACAAGGCATTAGTAAGTGTCAGGATACCAAACACAGGTGCAATGAAGAACATAAGACATCAGCAGGGCAGGCAGAAATTACAGGGGTGGGGACAGAGCTTTGGATAAGCCAAAGAAAATGTTAAGATGTGGACAAATCTCTGTAAAGTGTCTTACTTATTTGTTTAGTATGGCAGTGGCAAAACTTAAGGTGCTTGAATTAACAAAGGGTAGAGATGAAAACTCTCAAATGAGCTCTTTTGTGGATTACTGTGGGATTTCAGGGTGTCTCTTATAGACAAGAGGCATTCAGAAACCTGAACACTTGGGCCAGGGACTATGCCAGCAAACAGCTGAGGAAACAGAATTACCTTAACTCTGAATTTTGGTGTCTTGGTTGAAACCCAAGGCTCTGGTTTTATGAGAGAGTACAAGGGACAGAAGCTGGGCTAAATAGAAAAAAATGCTTTAATTCAGAGAAGAACATTATAAAATGTGGAAGGAGGAATAGATACATGAGAACTCCAAAGAAAATATGGAAAATATCAAAGGGATTATGCTGGAAAGGGAAAAGAAGGAGTGAAAAACACTGAGAGGTAACCCTTATAATCTGTTTCCATGAAGGATCTTTCCTCACAATGTAGGAATGTTCAGGAAATCTGATGATGAAAAATCACGGGGATCTGAATGATGCCCTAAACTGCACCTTCCCTTTCCCCAAAGTATAATCTCTCCTGCTAGGAGTGAACAGCTTCCTGCTGAACAGTTGATAGCTGGTAAGTAGAAGTGAAAGGAGGACACATTACACAAACATAGGCTGCCAATGACACACAACAAAGAAAAGACAAAGTATTTTCTGTGGAGGCAGGATAGTCTTAATGCCATGAGGTTCTGATGAAATCTTGTCCGTGAGATGGAGAACAATTCCAGTCATTCATCTTCAAGAAAGCAGATTGCAAATTGGAACAAGCACTGGGAAGGGCTATGAGAACATTCAGGCTGGGTAAGAGGGAATACAATAGCCTGGCCACCTTTGCATCAGGCAGGGTTTCCAGCTTAATCTTGAACAAAATGCTGAACTGTTTCTCCAAAGACCAATTCTGCTCTCTTTCTGCCACAGTACATCGTTCTGATGCTGATCACTTTTGCATTTGAAATGGCTTCTTGCATCACAGCAGCGACTCAGCAAGACTCAGTGAGTATTTTTTTTCTCATGCATTTTTTTAACTTTGCTGGGAAACACAACTTCTAGGGCACACAGTCACCCTGTTCAGCATAATAAATATGATAATACAGGGTTAAACTCATAGGCCTACTGCTGAACAGAAGACAACCCCAAGAGGAAAAACTCCAACATCATTATTTTAATCAAAGAAATAACTTTGTTCTTTCAAACATAGTTTTGTTATTTTTAACATTTTAAAATGTTTAACACCTTGTAGTTAAGTAAATAATAGTGAGGGTTAGTTGAATCATCAATACAGTGTTTAGCCTTTCAGCTACCAGCTGATTAATCTCTCATACACAGAGAGGACAAATCTTCAGCATTGCCCCAGGCAGTGTTACTGGTGAGGAAAAGATTACATGGATTATTTGAGATAGTGTGGGGAGGGAAATTATTTGCGGTGCTTTAGTGCCAACATACCAAATACAATCCATAGCTTCTGCACAGCTCTTGTGATATACATCCAGTAGTGTCTGCTTGGGATCTTCATCTTTGTTGCTCCTGCTCCTCAAATCCTGCTCTTTATTCTCGTGTAAAACCAGAAGGCATTCCTGTTCTCCAGCAAGAAAACAAATCCTCCCCAAATAACCCTATATTTGCTTTACGTGGCCACTTATTTACATAGCTTCTGCATTTTTCTCTGGTTTTTTGTTTGTTTGGTTTGGTTTTTTTTCTGTAGCTCGCTCCAGAGTCCTTCCTGAAGCAAATGCTGGACAGATATGAGCCGTCAGATCCAGCCAATAACAGTGGAGATGAGGCCACAAAGACATGGAATGACTTCATGCGTCAGGTAATAACTCTGAAAAGTCATCACTAATTACCAAATGCTCTGCAAGCCTGGAATTTCAAGTCCTCCTTAGGGCTGCTGGATAATAAAGAGGATGGCATCTGCCTTGAACCTTAAAGAAAGTTTTGACACACTCCCCCTTTAACTCGTTTATCAGACGGCAGACTGTCAAAGGCAGGCACTTCAAAAAATCTCTCCCATAAATCTGTGATGAATGCCTAACTGCTGTCCTGACATGTGCAGGGCTGTGGCCTGAGCCCACAAAGACCCTTCCCTTCTGTGTCCCTGCAGAACAACTGCTGTGGGGTGAAGGGCCCCTCCGACTGGCAGGAGTACACATCTGCTTTCCGCACCACGCACAGCGACGCCGACTACCCCTGGCCACGGATGTGCTGCGTGCTGGATGAAAAAGAGGATCCTGTCAACCTTGATGGCTGCAAACTTGGAGTGCCTGGCTACTATAAAAGCAATGTAAGATAATCTCTGCTTTTTCCAGTTAGCATACATCAGTCAAAATGCCTTGCTGGAAGGGATAGAAACCATGAATAGCCTTTCTCCTTCACTGTAAAGTACAGGTGTTCAAAAGCTTTCTGGAGGACAAGAAATGCCCGTAGAGTCCTGGCCATGTTGCTGAACGTAGGACAGGATTTTTTTTTAGGATAAAGTCTTTCCTGATGGAGAGAGAAATCTCCCAAGCCACTGGTAAGAAATTACATCTCTAACATGTAGATGGACAGTAGCTAAATCAAATTTAGCTCAAAGATACAATATGAGTAGGCAAATCAGCAGTTCTCCTCCTCAAGGAAGAACTTTTTAGTAGACCATTGTGTCCTATTCACTAGATTGCTGGGTCATAAGCATTAGCTTCTGAATTAGCTTGAATTTCTAGAAGGCATTCAAGCTTCCAAATTTTATTGACACTTCTTGATTCTGGAGTTCAATTCTGTGTCAACTGTGTTTGGTTATCTAAGTGCACTTGGCAAGTGGATGGCACAGCAAGTTGTCCTTGAATTGTTTGAGATGGGTCTACTTTGTATTTGGTGCCAGAAAATCTGCAAGTTGTCAATAAGCAGTGTAGCTCTGGCTTGGTTTTTTGAGACACTGAGCTACCCAAATTTCAGTAGGAGAGGAGCATGCCACCGTGCCACCTCAGTCTCTCTTGGGGGTGGATACATTTGTCACCTTGCAGTGCAGGCTCATTGCTGGTGCTGAGTCATTGCCGGTTGTCTTTCAGGGTTGTTATGATGCTATTTCTGGGCCAGTGAAAGCACACCGGGGTGTTGCCTGGTTTGGCTTTGCCATCCTCTGCTGGACTGTAAGTACTTAATATTTGCCTTTATTTCCTCCTCTCTTGCTATTCCACACCCAGTTGGGTGGAGGTGGATGACAGGACTGACGCATTTAAAACATCCATAGATTATCGTCATTCGTTCATCACAAATCTGCCTGTAGCCTGCTCCACTAAGGGCTACATTTACAAGCTCCCCTCCATTCTTCCAGTGGGGGGGAACTAGGTGGTTTCCAGCCTGCTGTGACCTGCTGCCATCTCAACAATGCAACACAGCAAACACAACTTGCAGATGCTTCTTTGTGGAGGGTATTGGATCATCATGATAGATAATTGAGCTTGTAGTTCGAAGATTTTGTATGAGTGTATTCAATACTCAGAGTTCAGCAGCTTCATGACAGATAATCCCCAGTGAGCAGAGTGATACAGTCAAATAGTTATAGCTGCATGTATCTTCTTTCTTTATTGTGTAGTTTCTGTGCAGATAAAAAACTTTAAGATCCTCTGCCCGAACAGGCTTTGTTTTTCAAGAATTTCTTTTACTTTCCCCAACCAGTAGGACTAAATGAAGCTGGGGGAGGGGTGGAGAGGAGGAAATGGGGGGCAGAGAAACTAAATAGTGTTGTCATTTCAGTTCTGCATCCTCCTTGGCACCATGTTCTACTGGAGTGGGATTGAAGACTGAAGGCCTGGTGTCCTCAGTGCTGTCTTGAAGAGCCATGTGAAACTGCGTTTTTTTGTCTCCCACTCCATTCTCCTCAGGCCATGGAGGATTTGAAGTTTTCCCACTACCTCTGCCATATATACTTTTGCCTCTCCAAAAACTTGACACAAAGAACTGATGACTGCAAGAAAGAATCTTCTTGTCCCTGCTTTGCCCCTTGTTCTGCAGCCTTAATGCCTCCTGGATGAAGCACAATCCTTCTTTCACTGTGCAAGATATCCTGGAGCATAAGATGAGAAAAAAAAAAAAAAAGTGGTCTGCTTTGTTCTTTGATGACATCAGAAAAGAAAATGTCCATATACACTTGGTCCAGAAAAATGTCTCTCTAAAATTAGTTTGAATTTAAATTATAACGCTTCAGCAAAGGCTATATGAGCAAAACTGTAACCTCCTGTGACCAGTAAGGACAGATGCTGCAAGGGAAAAACTGCAGAATATATATATATAATGTATTCTACTTATCAACTTCTCTTGCTGGTCTCTGTCACCCTTGCCTTAGAATAAGGCAAATTCTCTGAGCTTTTAAGTGTGGCAGCAATAAAAATATGTCAAAGGTAAAAAGTCTGTTGCTAGTCAAGCCCAATAAAAGGCTAGCTCACTCCTCAGCAATATGCTGCCTATATGGAAGCCTACCTCCTGTCACTGATGAAACTACTGCATGTGCCCCTACCTTCAGAAGTGCCAGGAAAAGCTCCACTTGCTAACAAGCAAATCCTTCAAAAAAGCTCTTATGTACTTTGCACAAGAATCTGTACATCTATGGGCTAGGATTTGTGCAGAATACAAGGGGTTCTGTGCTGTAGTTGCCTTTGCAATCATAGCTGTCTCATGCTCCTGGTTTATTGTGCTTCTTGCTTTAGCTACCTGTGTGTAAATGGTCATGCCCCCTGTGTCGTTCCCCTTCCACATCCCTGGATCAGGTAGGACAAAAGGCAAATAAATAATGGCAGTGAATAACTCTTGTGAAAAAAAGCAAGCAAGGAGCTAACTGAACAAAACCCAGTCCTTACATCAGTGCTTGCAGTTGTCACTCAGTTTAGTAAAGGCTGTTTACTTTGGTCCAGACTGAGCTGGTGTCTTTCCTAGTGAGCGCTTCAGTAGTTAAATGCATTGTCAGAAATGTGCTCCTCTGTAGAGTGTTTTAAGGTGAAGCTTCTTTCAAAGATGTGCTGGTTCAGGTCCTGATGCTTGCCATCTGCCTTGGTTCTTTGTTTTTGTATATTCACCAAAATACTAATTAAAAAGAAGTGGAAGTGATTTTTTTTTTCCCTTGTTCAAGATTGTGTCCTTGGGAAGGGTAAATAATAAAGGTCTGTGTCTGGGACATGTGGGGCAGGGTAGTGACAGGTTTTAACAGCCTGTAACAGAGATGCTAAAGCACCAAGATGTGATGTGCTACAGAAACTCAGAAGCAAAATAATTCCTTGCCTGAGTGCTGGGGGAGAGGAGGAGGCAGATAAGGGTGAAGAGATTGAGGAAGAAATGGGTCCCTACAACACAGGAGTTTTCTGTATACCTGTGCCTTCAGAACTGACAATCCTCATGGATCAGCTACTCCCCTGGTTCAGTGGTGTGGTGACTGTCTTAGAGACTCTGAGGAATTCCATAAGGAAATTAGTCTTCAGCACTTTTGTTGTGAGACTTGAGTCATGGATTGACCACGCAGACATGTGTATGTGAGTGGTTAAAGTTTGGTTTTCAATGGAGTGAGGGGGTGGTTTGGTGGTAGTGATGCCTTAGGTTTTAGCTTTTATATTTTTCAGAATCTGTACTGCTTTAGTGCGTAGTTCTGAGTTTCATATTAAGGGATAGTAAGCTCTCTTCACAGAACAGCTAGACAAAACAATTCCTTTCTTAGCTGGGGACCAAGGACAACAGACCCAAATTTAAGGCTCAAGAGCATAAACAATGTGGACTGAAGAAAAAAAAAAAAAAAGAAGAAGGCTGGGACTTCATAACCTAAAGCTATAATTAGACAATTAACTCCACTATGCTAATGGACCAGAACTTATGGAAGTGAAAGACCTCGTGACTGGTCACCAAGTGAAAGACCTCATGATTGGTCACCCATTTTTATGACCATTTTGGTTTATCTTGGGTGTAGCCTTGGCTGGGCTCTTGTACTACCCAAGGTGCATCCACTGAGGTCTTTTAATAAATAGCTGCTTTATCCTTTACTCCATTTAGAACCTCTGTTCTAGGTCAGCCTTCACAAGGCATCAGTAGGGTTGGGTGGTTTTATGTTTATGCTGCTGAAAACTACAGTAATACCTAAATGTAAAGAAATCTAAAGAGGATCAGCATCTGCCAAAGTTAGGGAGCAATGGCAAAGACTAGATTCTCTGCTACTTGCCAGAAACTGCAAATTCCTGCCAACTGCAACAGCAGAGAGGGGAGAAACAGGGCAGGAAGGACATGGCAGGCACAGAGACTCTGCCCTTGCTCAGCCAAACACCTCCAATAACTCTTGGTCATGGAAAGCTGCCCTCCTGCATAAGGGCCTCTTGCCTGAGTTTTTTCTGAAACTCAAGCAGCTCTGCAGATGGATGAAACAACTGGTTGTGGGACTTTCTAGAGGCTAGTAAGGCTTTCTGAACATGGGTGTCACTGGACATTCTGCCTGAAGAAAATGGTAGGACCACAGAAGCAATTAAGATCAAGTATTACTTTCCTCTTCTGGTCTTTTGCTTCAGACTTTTCTGCTCCATTTAAGTGTGGTATGATTACAGCACTGCATTTAATATAGAGGAAAATGCTGCAGGATTTTGAAGGAGAAGAAAGACTGAGAATAGTTTAAATAGACTATTGCAGTATTAACTGCTCCGACCAGCTGCAAATGATACCATTGACCTATTACATAAATGGCAGCTCAGGTCAATTCAGTTTGGGTTCTTCAAATGTGCTTTCTGCTTCTTAAGCCTTTCCCTCCCATTGCAATTTATGATTTCTGTACTAAAAAAATAAAAGCTGTGACCAAGTAAACCAGGTGTTGGTGGATTTGTACCGAAGTGCCAAACATGCCACAGTGCATCCAGGAAAAAACAGCTTTATCTGCCTGAACTAAGGGTAAAGGAGAGGATTGGACTGATGACAGAATGATATTGATCAGGGTCATGAAAAATCCTGCTGAAAAATCAGAAAAATCTGTGCTTCTGAAGGTTGATTCCAGCCTCTGAAATTACCTGGGTTGCCAGGGAAAGGGTGAGGAAGGGATGGAGTCTGTGACAGCAATGGTGGGGACCAGGCTTATGTGTCAGCTGAGACTTGTAAAAAAAATCCTGGTCATTCTCAGCTGTTTGGATTGCTTCCTGAAGGCATGGATGTACATGGTCTTCAGAGCAGGCAGTATGCATGTGTGCATAAGAACTGCTGGATTAAGACATCCTGCTAAAACAGGATGAAGAAAAAAATGCTGCAGGTGAAAGTCATTTGGTTTGTTTGCAGATTTGCTCTGTGCATTTATTCTCTATAGGTGTGAATATTCACAATTCTCTCATGGCAATAAAAGCACACTTCAATTCTCCCATGGGGTTACTAAATGTATTTTTAGATTATTAATTTACTGCAATAATCCCAGCTCTGAGAAATGAAGAATCTCACTGAGACGCACCCCTCTGCTCATAGCTGGTGGAATGCTGTATCCTCCAATCCAAAAAGAATCCCACATCCTCAGCTGCTGGCCTCCCACACACATAGAAATGTAACCTGCTGGTTTTCACCCTGCTGAATGTTTGTTGCTGGCAGTACTGAAGGTGTCTGTCTGTTCCTTTAGGCAATGGGGCAATGTGGGGCTGCCATTGTGAATTTTGTGCCTCAACCCCATTTATCCAACAAGTTTTCCTACCCCTTCCTCCTTTCCCCTCACTTCTTCTGCATGCAACCTCTTTGCATGGACCCTTTCAGGCCCTGTTTTTCTTTACTTTGCTGGTTCATGTACACCATACAATGGCCAATAGCCATACTTAACATCTGGCTACCCACCTCATTGGGAAAACTAGGAACCAGGCTGACAGTGGTGTTCTGTATCTTCTGACACGGGTGATTTATTCCTGTCCCTGCTCACTGCCCTGGCATCTTCGTTTTTCACATTCATTACAACAAGGACTCATGCCAAGCAAATGTTTTTTGGGACCAGTGACCTAAAACTAGCTCCTAAATGAATCCTTCTACTCCCAACCCTTAGCAGCCCTGCCCTCCTTGGCAACTGGGGAAATCCTCTGCAACATGTGGTATGCTGGGAACCTCCTGCAAGAGCTCTGCCTGTAATCTCAGGCATCTTTAGGAGATCCTGCTTTGGGAGGAGTGAATGATGAGTGCTGAGGTTTTATCCTCAACAGGAAAAAAGGTGAGGGTGTTTCTGACTTGCTTGCGAGGTGGAATTACATCACAGGCAAGGTCAAGTGCAGTTCTTGCACGATCACCAGTTGAGATAAACCCTGCAAGAGAGAAAAGTGATGAGCAGTGAGCTGCTCTGGCTGCCCAGGGCTGTTGCTAACTGTGAGCCAATGCAGGCCTTCTCTATTCTTCCCAAAGCCATGCTCACCTTTAGCAGGGTGCTGTGGTTGGCACAGAGACTGGAGACTGTAAATCCATGTCACCCTGTAAATAACCAGCCTAGTCCTTTTATACTGTGTGACCCTTGATGTTTAAAGTAAATTATCTCACAGTGAAAAAAAAAAAAAAAAAAGAAGAAGAAAAAAACTAAAGCAGTTTGTGATCACTATTTTACTATTTTTTCTGATTTCTGCTTCCTGATCCCTGTGAAGGAAGAGGAAAAGAAAATGTTACCTGATATTCTTCAGACTGGTTCAACTCAATCTTATGGCTGTTGGGTGTTTGGTTTCTTTCCCTTTTTGGGTTTTACTTATCTAGAAACTTCCTCTGTTGAATAATCATCATGTGTGTTTTCCCCTTTCTACAGTTCTGGTTGTTCCCATGTTTGTGTGCCTTGTGGTTCTTTCTTAAGCAGCTACAAAGTTTTTTTTTTAAGTCATTTCCTCTCGCTGAATTCAAATAATTCCTGGTCTTTTCAGATAAGGGATTTAAATGACAGAGAAATATACCCTCTGCAACAGATGTGCTACAGAAGAAAACAGGTCCCATTTTAAGATGGATTTGGACCCAAATTGCAGACATAATTCTTAGGAGTTGTTTAGGTTTGCAAAATGTAGCTCATCTCACACTGCAGTTCGCTAATAAGACATGTGGAAATATGTTTAATTACAGAGTGAGGCAAATATTCAAGTTTTAACACACTGTGTCTACCTTCTGAGAGCATCAGGACTCTGGCAGATCTGAGCTTTGCAGATCCTATTCGTTTCTAATCCTTCACACTGAAACTGTTCATCCTTTACCCTTGTGGTGAGGCACGTTCTTTGAATAGTTTATCCTGTCCAGATGGAAAATGAACTCTGAAATCTCACTGCCTTTCTCTATCTTGGCTCTTATGATTTTGGTTTTTTTTGGTGATGGTGGTGCCTTGTGCCTTCCCTGCCCTGCCTGCTTCCCCTTTGCCGCCAGCTGACTTTTAGCCCCATCCAGTGGGATAGTAGTGGGATGTCCTGCTGCCCCGAGCGGCTGGATTCCTGTGTTGCAGTGAGGATGCACAAGACACCACTGTCAAATGCTGGCTTGGTGCCAGCTGCTTAACAGCCACCTTGGGAACTTGCTTAATCCTGGTTCTGGCTTAGCTGAAAGGTATCCAAAATGTTGTAGCTGTGGCTTTCAATACAACCTACACAGGGTATTGCCCGGAGTCAGGCAGGCAAAAGAAACTGCCTAAAAGAGTGTTCAAGCACTTCCATGTGTTTAAGCTCCCTGATTTAGGGCACAGAGCCAACTGCAGCAGGAGCAGGTCTGCAGTGTCCCTTTGGCCTGGTTTTTGTAACCATGGGAATGCTGTGGGGCAGTCTGAGGTTCTCCCCTTGCCTTATGGCCAAGTCATTACGAGACTCTGTGGCACAAAGAATGGGAAAATACTGGTTCTCATGCAGCACTAATAACTGGCTCTGGCTAACAACAATTCCAGAGTTCAACAAACATGGTTTTCTCTCTCAATTTGTATGCCAGTTGCCATGGTAAGCAGGAAGCACAACCCAGGCATTTTCCTAAAGGGAAACTGAAGTCATGAAGAAGGTAGGAAAGGGAGTCAAGCCCTGAGTTCAGCTGCTGAGTAGGAAAAAAAATATTTCACTTAACCTGATGATTCATCTGCCTTTAGGGAGAACAGTGATCAAGTTGCACTGCAGATATATCCACTGAGGCTACAAGCACAAAACACTCCTCTTTTTTTTCCCTCTCTTTGATCCCAGGATGGAATAAGGGACACATAATAATAATATTCACTTCCATGATACAGCTCAGAAATTGGCTCAATTACAGCCAAGGAACTAAATAATGAATTTGTTTAAGTTCTTGTTGGTCCTTTACAAATCAACAGAAGTGCATAAATGATGCACCAGCAGCCTTCATAGTAACTTCCTTCTCCTATTCCAGCCTGGCTTCTGCTGTATAAGAACTGGGATCACAAAGTTTTTCCATGCTCTACTCTGAGTTCCTCTGCATTATCACAGACAAGGCAGAATTCTGCAGAAGATGTGCTAAATATGAGGACATGGTTGCACATCACTGAAACTTCAGCCTGGTAGAACTAGCAATGATAAGAGAAAAGATTATTTTAGCCTTGAAAATTTTAAAGCATTTCAGGTAACAGTAATTCTACAGAAATCTCCAAGCCTTCACTTCATTTTCAGAGCTGCAGAGCAACTGCAGCTCCCATAACCCCCAATCAGAAAAGTGTGTGGTCAGACCCTAACCTTCAGACCTCACCATCAAAGCCCACAAAAACACTGGGTCAATGTCCTGGCCTTTGTGACTCACAAAACAAAAGAGGGGCTCAAACTCCATGTGAGATGATGACAAAAGCATTTGCACTGTATTCATAAACCAAATCCAGAAAAAAATGAAATGTTCCACAACATCACTAGGGCACAGATCTGTTTTTATAAAAACTCCAGTTTAATCTCATGGCTGAGACCTGGCAAAACATCTTTCTTTCGTGGCTGTTTTCTTTCTTTTTTTTTTTTTTTTTTTTTTTTTTATTTTTTTTTTTTTTTTTTTTTTTTTTAACAATCATGCACAGAGGCAGGCAAGTCCACACAGAGAAAAAAGCTTAACAAAACTGCAATTCATCAGAGCTAGCAGGAAAAATAATCACAAAACCATGGCCAGTGGGATGGAGACAGTCCTCTTCATAGTGTCCAGCTTCCAACCCTTCTCTTGACCTGGCAGCAAATAATATTCAAAAGGGTACTAGTGCCTGCAAGCACAAGATCCAAGGTCTGGACTGCTGTATGGAGCCCTCAGAAAGTTCTTGCCTTCTGCCATCCTTCATTTCTGGGGCTGCTAAAGTCCTACTCTATCTCCTGTTGAACTCAATGGAAAGTTTTCCATCCCTTGCTTGGAACAGAATTAGTTTTCACCAACCCTTTACATTAGTTAGGAGCAAGCAAAGGTTAAACAAAATAGGGATCAGCTGCAGCTTCTCCCCCATCCCTAGAGATTTTTTTCTTTTTTTTTTTTTCCAGAGATGGGGAGAAACAAAAAGGACAACTGAAAAACCTGGGCATGCTTGAAGGGCTGTATATGCTTCAGTAGAGTGTTTGCATTTTCGAGTCCTGGAGAGAAGATTGTGGTGGAAAGCTAAATCAGCCCTTGATCTCTGGTCTCCCCTGGTCTTGTCCCTCCTTTCCCAGGACAAGATCCTTCTCAGGAAGGCACATTCAGGCCTTCTGCCCACCACAGATTAACCAGGACTAATTGGCTACTCTGTGGGCAAATAGCCACTTGATCTCACACTCTCAGTGCTGCAAACATAGCAGCAGAAAACAGTTCCACTCATCAGCCCAAGTTTCACAGATGTGTAAAATACTATTTAGGCAATTCCTTCATGTTAATTACATTTCCTTCTTTTAATACATTTACATAGAATGATCTTTTATATATATATATATATAGATATATATATATAAAATTTTAAAATATTCACCAATACAGGTGTTTCAGAATTCATAAAAAAAGAAAAAAATATTTTGATTGCACCATTTGGACACTGGATAAGGGAAAATGTTGCAGACTTCATGGATGCTCTCTAATACAGACTAAAGTTCCTCTGAAGTTCTAAAGGTGAAAAAATAAGTACTTCAGTCTTTATACAGTGATAGCATGAGATGGACAGCCCAGAGGACTGGGGTTTATAAGATAAAATATAACCTTCATTTCTGTTTACTCTCCTGCCAGTGAGGCAGCTGCCACAGGAGCTAACATTGTCCATGTCCCTCCTTTCTATCAGGGATTCTCACCTTTGCCAGCTCAGCCATTTCACTCTGAGCTACATTTAAGAGAAGCTGCACCAACCCTCTGACTACATGAGAAGAGTAAGTGAAATATACTCACTCTTCTTCCACTTGTAAAAGCCCACAAGCAACACATGCTGCTGATATTTTGTCATGTCTGATACTGAGGCCATCTGCAAACTGGACAACAGCCTTTACTTTCCACAGTCTCATGAGAACTGAAATGTCCTGCAGGGTCTCTGAAGTGATCCTTGTGGAGCTGCAGATGATGAGCCAGTCTATTTAGGAAGGCCCTTTCAATAATGCCAAGAAAAACCAGCTTTGCTCACCTGGGCCAGACCCATCTCCCATAAATCCAATCTATCCTTCTTCATAATGTTTCACAGATAAACAAAGGAAAAACAGAAACAAAACCCACAAACAAACATATAAACAAAAACAATTAAAACCAAACCCAAAGCCATGGAGAAAAAAACACAAGAAATAAGAAAATCCTTTCTTAAAGAGATAAGGTCTGACCCTGAACTGACATTGGGGATAGCTCAGTAAAGCTCTCAGGAAGCTCCTGCCACCCAGCCAGCACCATTCACTGGGAGGTGGCATCTGTCTTCTGGCGCTGTCCAGCTCCCAAGCTCTGGTCCTTCAAGCTGACTGCAGGTACCACTATCAGCATGGATCCATCATCAGATTTTACAGACTCTGCAGAAGGCTGAGTCTGAAGCTGAGAATAACATGACACCTTACAACCAAGAACGTGCTTTCATCTCTGCAGGACCTGGGGCTTTATTTTAAGAGTTCTGGATACATCAGCTGAAGGCTAGAGATTAAATTGTAGATAAGCAATGGGATCAAGCTACAAAACAGAGATACCATTGCAGCATCTCTGCTTAATTAAAATCCAGGACCCAACTCTGTTGTTGAGTTCAAATTCTGAAACATCCTTTAAAAGTATAGTCTGGATACAGATCTTAGTTGAGGCTGATCTTTAATATCAAGTAAAAATTTCTAATAATTTTCTCTTGCAGGAGTTTCACCATTTATGCCAAAAGCGCTATTACTTACTGGAATGCTGTTATGAATAAAGACAGTGTATTATATACAAATTGCCAGACCTCATTTCTTGTTCATAGATCAGCTTAAACGAAAATAAGGAGGTGGAAAAAAATGGTTGTAATATGCAAGGTTTCATCACCTTTCCTTATTGTGAGCTTCTCTCACTCCCTTCCAGCTGCCTTGGCAGTCAAAACTTCTAGGACCTGAGAGACTATAAGTCCTTGTCCAAAGTAAATTCTTTTGTTGATGCCAAAAAACCTGGGCACCGTTTCCACAACTATTACTTCCTCTAAAACCTTACCACAATACCTCATATCACACCTTTCCTTTGTCATTAACCCAGCCATGGCAACTAAAAGCTTTCTCAGGAGACAGTGACATATATATGCAGTGTGGAGCTGTGCTAACTATGAGGAGCATGAAGAACTGGAAATTCCCTAGTTTTAATAACAGGCATATTATGGTCTTGGAGTAGAATAATACAATTGTCATGAAGCTGCATATTTTGGGCCTGCTGTCCACAGCTTGCCCAGGTAAAGCATAGGCTGCTGCCTGTGAAAGAACATGGACCCAAATAAGAACTCCAGGCTCTCATCTGGTTTAATAATCTCCTTCAAAAAAACTGACAGCACAGACTTAGTTCTCTGCTCTGCTCCCATGTGGCACTATACACAAATAAAGAGTGCAGTGGGGAGGATCAAAGACTGCAGCTTGTGACAAGGAAAAGCCCTCTTGTTTTTCACATTCCCTTTGGAAATGGAAGGAGAAAATTCTGCTGAAGATATATTCTTTGTGTTTGTGGGCCCATAACTTCTCAAAAATACCCTGGCATATCTCTCCTTTAGCAATCAAAGAGTTCAGAGAAAGCACTGTATTGGAGGGCTCAGGGCTCTCCAGCCACAATGGCACTAATAAAGTGACACAGTGTGTGCAGAATAGGAACTCATGGGGTGAGTTTACCAACCATTGGAAATTGCCAGTACTTTACAAAACAAAGCCCTAAACACACATCTTTTGGGAAATTCTGGGTGACACTCATTGTGGTGGTTATAGCACTTCCTAATAGTTTACTGCTTAAACTATAGCCCATCACACCCACCTGAGGGCCTGCAGACTCAGACATCTCCAGGAATGATGGCCCCTGCAAGCACATTACAGGGACAATCTCAGTGCTGGCAGCAACACCTGTGTTCCTGTCTCCTCTGTAGTCACCAGTGACACTTAAATTGCAGAGACAGCACAGGCTGTACCTGACTTTGCCATCACCCACAGCCATAGATCAGGCAATAGATGAGCCTGTGGTGAATACAGAGTTAGAGGCTTTATAAAGGAAGCTTTAATTCTATTCCCATGGCAGCTGTTGCATATCTGAACACATATTTGCCTGTAACATTAATGTTTCCTTCAGGAGAGAGTTTAATTCACTTCAAATACCCCTCTCAGGACTTGTCATGATCTGTTCTGCAGTCCCAGAAATCATCCTCTTTACCATACTCTTAATCAGTCTGAAAGCACTGAGGTCCAGGGTGGTGGCAACCAGCCACACTCTCAAACAAACAGTGTAAACTAATAGGAGACAAAACTGAAATGGAGTAGAAGCACCTGGGGACATGCCACACAGTGGCAATGAAAGACCAAGGGTCAAAGATATGTCAGTCAGTGTGCAAGAGGGCAAAAGCCCAAGGACATGGAGATAAGAAGATCCTCTTGCTTTTGTCTGCTGTTGGCAGTGTGGAGCTCAGCTGTAGACAGCTGCAGAGGTGTCATCTGGCTTTAAGCAAAGATGAAAACAGTCAATACTGGCCTTCAGTATGACCTTGCCTTGGCTGCCACTGCTTTCAGCCTGAGGGGTCTCTACTGCTGGGCAGCCAGCTGCACACTCATTCCTCAGCCACACCCATCTTGTGTGCCCGAGGAAGGAAAGACTGAGCACAGAGAACTTGTGAGCAAGGCCTGGAAGACTGAAAGAACAACTAGGCACTTCCGCCCAGGTGCTTTTATTCCAGCCCTTGCACAGGCTGGAAAGAGCACCGTCTCTGATGCAAGGAGAGAGCTGGAGGCAGCGTCCTCACCTTAGATGTTTATCACTGGAACATCCCTGGGTGCCTCACACCCTGTGTGATTTGCTCATGCCAACTTCACCTTCCTCTTTAGCTATGCCCAGCCTCCTGCACTGTTTATTTACACTGTATAAATCAGGAAGTCTTCATTGATGTCTGGGAAACAATGATAGGAGTTCCCAAACATCTGGACTTACCTCCTCAGCACATGCTGCGCCCCTGCACCCTGAACTGCAGTGTTTAGTAACAACGTTTCCTCTCAGTCCTATATTCTAATTATTCAAAGATTTACCTTTCCTTTTTTTCCATAGGGAGGATGAGACTTTCACAGGGCTTATTAGAGAACAGGTGTGAGAAATGCAAGTTCCCTGGGGCTGGCTTACCATAAAAAAAAAAAGACAGTGAGGGACTAGGCAGGAGCAACAAGGGGAATGAAAAGCAAGACAAAGATACCATAGCAAAAGCTTTGTAGGAAACCATAAAGGATTCAGGTCCATCTTGCACAGAATAGTTTTAACAACAGCAAAATGGCAACAGAGTTGGTCTTGAATATTCCCATTCCAACCATCACAGAAAATGAATAGGAGGAGCAGCTGCTACTCAATCTGCCTCCCACTTCGTCCATCCAGGATCACAGAGCGCCTCTGGGGCTGGTAGAAGCAGCTGGTGGAGGTCTCCAGTCTCTGGCCGTTCTTGGGGATGGTCATTTTGTTCCGCAGCGTCACCCCCTCGGGCGTCGTCCGCGCGGGGTCGGACAGATCGCCGCAAATGGGGCTCGGGGAGGTGGTCTGGGTGGGGCTCCTGATGGGTGACAACAATACCCTGGAGTCTGCTGAGGACGTGGGGTGGTCCATGATGGGGAAAGGGGGACTGAAGAGAATCAGACTCTGAGGCCTCCCAGGCCTAGATCTGTAGGAAGGTTTGGAGAACCCTGATGGCCTCTCTATCTTTGAAGATTGTGGGTTATCTCCAGCTGTCTCCCCGCCAGATGTGCGCTTTCGGCGCAGAACAGGGGCATCCAGAGCAGAGTGATGACTGGACTGAGGTGGCTCCAGTGGAGAGCCCAGGCTGCCATGCCAAGGACATGCTGAGTCCTTTTGAGCAGGGTCACTGTTTTCTTTCTCTGCTTTGGCTTTCTTTTCTGTCAGCGGGCTCTTGGGGGCATCCAGGTGGCTCCATGCCACCCGTGGAGCTTGCCTGATGGCCTGCTTGGCTTCTGCTTCCTTCTTCTCAGTGGCTGGAGCAGCATTCTGAGCCTGCAGGGGCTGGGGGATCTGGGTGTACTGAATCTTGGGCGGTATCACGGGCACCGCTCTAGCCTGGCACATCTTAATCATGAAGGAGGTCCTGACAGCTGATACGCTGACGGGGGCAGAGTTACGACGGCCAGTGGTGGCGTGGGCCACTGCCAGGTAATCCAAGTCTAGATCCACAGGGGCATTGAAATGAGACCCCCAGGGAACACCCCTACTGGCAGCAGGGCAGTGTGTTGGCAGGGATGGGACAGAATCACTGCTTTTTACTTCCTTCTGCCCATATAGGAGGTTCCCAGGGGCAGATGGCATGGACAGGCTCTCAAATGTGAAGAAATCTGGGGCTGGGAGGAGTGAATCCAAGTTGAGGGATGAAGGCCTGGTCTTTACTTTGCGAGGTGTTTCTTCACCTTTATTACTCAGCTGTGACTCAGTGGCAGAAGACAAGGCTTTTGTGACAGTCTCTCCTCCCAGGGCAGTGTCCTGAGAGATGGATAACTCCTCCTTTGTGTTCTTAGTCTGTGAAGAACTGCCTGGATTATTTTGGTATGACAAAGATAACTCAAGCTTTGGGCTCCAAGGGTTTTCTTTGCTCACATGCACTTTTCTTCTCTCTGTCTCCAAAAGAGGGACTCTGGAGGGTCCTGCTTTCTCACCTGGTGCTTTCTCCCTGATAAGGGGGTACTCAGGTTTTGAAGGTTCTTCTGGAGGACTTGGGCCATTCTCATCTTGCATCGCTTTGCCCAAAGTAGAGGGGGACATGGGTTGTGTTTTGGCCAGCTCACAAGTCGCTGAATGCAGAATGTCACCACATGGCTGCTGCTGGTCAGTGGCATCTATGAAAGAGAACGGGGTAGTCCAGAGACTCAGCACTGTGTCTTTACTGTCCAGGGAGAGGCTGCGACTGAACCGCGGCCTAAGAGAAATTCCTGTCTCTGCTCTCTGGCCCTGTGGGTGAAACTCCTGGGTCATCTTCTCCTGAATGTCCTTAAAGGTGGGAGAATGGAGAGGGCTTGTAACCCACTGGTGATCCTCCCAAGGCTCCACAAGTTCTAAGCTCTGCACATTATCTGTCCAGGCATCCTCATCATCCTGGTCAGTGGCATCCTGGGTTCTGCTAACAGCATTGCCTTCCTTCACCTCCTGGATTCCAGCTCCAATCAGTGCCTTGGAGGAGAATGTGTCCCTTTCATCAGTAGTCATTATCTCATGCTTCTCCCTCTCAGTGTGGACTCTGGTAAGACCATCCTTTTCCCTCTGGAACTGGTAAGTGCCATCTTTTTCCTTCCCTGATTCTGGACATGCTCCTTTGGAACAAGATAATCCATCACTAGTGGCAATCTCACTAAATTCTGATTGACCATGAAGCTTCCAGTCCGGGGTAGGAGTAAGACATTCACTCCTGCTCTCCACCATTGACTGGTGGTTCTTTGGAGTGGCTGAGCCCATTGGAAGAGTGCCCAGTTTGGGTAGGGCTGAAGCACCACTCTGTTGTGCAATTGCATCAGACTGGCAGCTGGGGAGGCTGTCTTGTTGCTCCATGCCACTGGCACCAAATAAAGGCACCTGACTTATCTGTGATGCTCTGCTTTCAGATTTCTGCTCACTGAGTGTTGGACTCTGCCCCGGGCCACAGCAAAGACTATCTGTTTGTAGTGAAGAGGAGGATTCAGAAATTGGGCTTGTCTTGGGAACAGCTGCTGGCAAGAGCAAGAGCTCCTCTTCAGGTTCTATAATTTTCAGTTCCTGCTGTATCTCTGGCCAGAGTGGTTCTAGAAGGGCATTCGTCAGGTCCTCCTCAGTCTGAAAAACAGAGGAAACACCATCACCTGGGAGCTCACAACTTACCAGTAAATACCCCTCCTTTTTCCCCAAACAGCCCTCCTAGAATAGCCAGACTGCTGGGTGAGCACGCTCATGGGCACAGAAATACAGACACACAACTGCTACCAGTTCAAGGAAGAAAATACATCTATAAACAAGTGGGTTTATGGAGGAGAAGGTCTGAGGTGCAGCCAAAAGGAGGCCTGGACAGACATACTGAAATAGTGAGCTGAATGAGCAGCTGGAATGTTCCAGCCCATTTCTCAGCTATTCCCATTCAGGCTCACTTGGCCTTGCCAGAGAATATGCATTCCCAAACTGCACACAAAATAGAATGAATAATCTATTCAAGGAGATATGCCAACAGATCTTTAAATAGCTGTCCAGAGATGAGTATCGCTGTAAGAAACTTGGTGAAAAGGCTTTGCTAGAGATACAGAGGAGGAAAAAAAATAGTAAGAATTAAAAAAATAAAATTGTGTGTAGAGAATGGGAGTAAAAAGGACCGTTCAGGCTGGCCAGGACAAATGGGACAGCAAAAATAGAAGGGGAATTCAGAGACCATGGGTCAAAATGTTCAGACATCCGGACAGTCTCACATCTGGAGAGTCTCAGAGCAGACAGATGGTACAGACTGAAATTGTACAGTTACAGGAAGAGATGACCAAAAGGGCATAGTAGGTAGTTACATAAAGGTAAATCACCACATGGTGATTTCACAGAAATTAAATCAATCAGTTCATGTCCAATTCTTGGAGCTGCTTGGCCTAAGTTACAGACTGAGTTTTCACAACTGCAGACACGCAATGGAACTTTAAACAATCTCCCAGTCACTACCATGTCATGGTCCCCCACCCTTCTCATGCCTTCTTCCTTACCACATCTCTTAGGCGTGATCCTTCTTCTGTCTTAGCCATCTCAATCTCCTGTTGGTCACAGCTGACTTCTGAGGAGACATCCTTCATCCTGAGCTGTCCTTGCTCTGCTTTGTCTGCTGGGAGTGGTTCCTTATGGAACTCAGAAGCTGGTGTTTGTTCCAAGGTGGGACTCTGCTCTGAGGACTGCTGGGGGCTGCTGGTGCTGCTTGTGCAGCTGCTTTGCCCACATGTCTCCTGATTTTCTGCTGCTGGCTGTAGCATTTCTAGGGACTCAGGTTTCCCAGCTGCCATCAGCTCCTCGGGATGAGAGCCTGGATCAGAAACACAAACAAATGTAACTACGTGAGACTGAAAACTTGTGCCAAGAGCCAACACCAACTAACAAAGCTAGAGAGCTCCCTCCAGGCACAACCAGATGTTACTGGGAGGTCGCTGACCTCCCCAGGCTCCTTACCGCAACAAGCACCACCCTGACCTGCCATCAAATCGACACCCACCCTGCTATAGTTTAGTTTCTTCCCTGCCACAAGCTCAAGCTGGAGAAACCTCCACACCACCAAGCTGCAGGACACTTCCAGCAGCCCACCTGAGGATCCATACCCCCCTCCTTAACACAATTTACCTCTGGATGCTGCCACTGGCAGAGTTGGCCCTGGCTGTTTCTCCTTGCGCTCTGTTGCCTGCTCTGTCCTTGTGTGGGTCCCTGCCTCCAGAGCAGAGGGGCTCGTGCCCTCCACCAGAGAAGACAGCTCCTCTAGACTGGAGAGGGAATGCTTCTCCTTGGTGGGCAGGCGGCAGGGTGTGCTGTTGGTGCTGATGACTGCCGATACCCTCAGCGGGACAGAGACAGCAAATGGCTCCGAGATGTTCAGGGCTTTCCTCTGGTGATGAGGAGAGGCCTCCAAGGGAAAGAGGCTGCTCGGGAAGCCTGACTTGGTGGCTGTTTCAGAGGTGTAGAACATGAGCACTCCTTTGGCTGAAGTCTGCTCGTTTTCAGCATCCTCTGCTACCCGGAAAACCTTCAGCTGCTCAGGGGGTGACTTCACCTGCGGTGTCCGGGGAAGACCTCTCTCCCCACCCAGCTCTGAACTTCCTTTGGCCCCCATGGCAGATCCTTCCCGCTCCCACTCATTCTCTTTTCTGAGGTCATATGAGCTGCCTGTGCCTCCTGTCCGTATCTTGGTGGGAACAAAGAATCCTCCAGTAGTCACTGAGCGTTTGAACCTGCTTTTGTCATCCTCCCCTAGAGACAGGAACAGAGAGCAAGTCAGTGAGAAGCAAAGAACTAGCAAACCTCCTCTGTGAGGAGCCCTCCTCAATCCCTCCAGGGATGAGTCCTGCCCTCAGATTTCCCCAGACAGATAGAGACAAGTGGCACTGAAGGCTTTCTATTCTCTAGCCCTAGGGCTTCTTTCAAAACAGGCAGGCAGCAGGGCACTGAATGCCCTCCAGTGGAAATCGGCTCAGACTTTTATTAGACACCCTTCTCCATCAGATGCAGACTATCACATACTGCCCACAATGCACACACCAGGCTTTGTCAGCTTTTTCTAAGTATTTTTCATCTACAAATGGGATTTTTGTGCCAAGAATAACCAAGAAAGAAATCAAAGCAGTCCAACTACCAATAAAGGTGCAGCTAAACACAGTGGTAACTCTCAGGTGGATGCACCGAGATAAACAACACAGAAAAGAGTCAGAAGTGCACACACACAGAGGTGGGGACACACATCAGCACCCATGACATAAGTACACAAAGATATACAACATGGTGAGATAGACACAGACTGCTCATCCATTGAGGGTGGTGAGACACTGGAACAGGCTGTCCGAGAAGCTGTGGATGCCCCATCCCTGGAAGTGTTCAAGGCTTGCTCAAGTGTTGGTAGCACCTGATGTAGTGGAAGGCTTATTGGCAGGGTTGCTGGAACTAGGAGATTTCTGAAGTCCCTTTCAACCCAAACTGTTCTGTGATTTTGTGATCCATGCTGCTGAAAATGCAGAGCTGCACTCTGTCCCCCTAACACTATAGGCAGGCTGTGGATGTCTCACCTTCCACTGGCAGGGAACACAACGAGTCCATGCTCTTTGCAGGCCGAATAGTTGCTTTTTCTGTGGAAAAAGAGGTTTAGAAGCAGGTATCAGATCCTGTGGCTTTGCAGGCTTCAGCCCGTAAAGATCAAAGGCTGCATACATATAGACAGGCATGCCAGGCAGACATTTTCCATTTCCAAGCATTCCCCCATGTATCTACACCACATGGCTTATTACCCACAACACTTGTCCACACAGCTGGGGATCTGCTAGTGCTAACAACAGCTTTGCACCTGCTGGACATGTGGAGAGCTATACTTAACCCAGCCAGACAACACCACCTCCACTCTGAGCCTGAACAGTTAAGCATCCCCAAAGCTGTCATGTGCCATTCCCCTCCCCAACTTAGTCAGGCTATTGGTTGTGGGGGACTTTCTAACTAAACTGACATAAATGCCTTATCATCTCTCATTCCTGATAGCAAATGTTGGGTTATTTTTACATTGAACTCCCGGCTCTTTTGCTGATGCGAGCATACCCTGCCTCCAGCAAGAACTCTGGGAAATTTCTGAGGGCAGTGAGAAATCTATTTTGCTGGCCATCTTCACTGGACTTGCTTGTCCAGAAACACGCTGTCATTTGTTACTATACACTCCACAAGTCTGTTCCTGAGAGGTTTTGGAAGCTTGTAGCTATTACTGCTCTGAAAAAGGAAGGGAGGTGGGGAAATATAGCTGGCAAGGAAGACAAGTTATACTCTGGCAGTCCAAAAAGGTTCCATGGAGATCTGGAAAATGTCTGGGAGTAAAGTTTGCTGTTTACAGAGTTGCACAAAGTAGGTAAAGCAGAAAGTCACCAGGCTTGTTGGACCTCATTTGTTTATATAATGGAGGCTTCTAGCTCCGACTCTCAAATGAGCGTAGGAGAAACTCCAGCTACTTTTTACATTTACATGGAGTCCTGGCTACTTTTTACATTCATAAGACACTATGTCTCGAGCACTGTTTCCGTTTTCCAGGAGGAGCAGAATTAAAGCTGGGGAGCTGCGGCAAGTCACATTTTACGTGACTTACAGATTTGTGTGCACAGACACAAGCTGTGCTAAAGCATGTGCTGAGTTTCAGCAGCAGCTTCATCTGTTCCCTCACATTAGGCTGTAAGCAGAGAGCACTGAAAAATGTAACACAGCAGCACAATAAGGCACAGCTTTAGCACTGAAAACTCTGCACAAGGCTGGGCATTTGTGTGTCCTGCTGGTGAAAATGTCCAGCCCCTGTCACTCAGTACTGTCCTTGGAAAAAGGCTCAGCCACCACCATCACTGGGGGTGCCATCATTCCTGGGCCTCCTTGGGTTAGCACTATTTTGAGACAGTGTTCCTTATCAAAGTGAGAAGGTGATCCCGTGATCAAAATAGGATACAGAGCTATTTTGAAGTCTGTCGTGGCCACACTGTGTGAGGCCATCTGTACATGCAAAACATGGGGAAGGCAGAGGTCCAAAAAGAACTGGATCCAGCATTTGGCTTCACACTCATTTGTGATCCAAATACAGCCTTTCTTATATGTGGTACTAGCTCATGTTGCCAATATTAACTGTTTTATTTGAAGTCTATTGTTAGGCAGTGGTCCTCCAAACACCAGCTCCTGATGTGATGAGATTATATGAAGAAAAATTCCACTTTCATCTCCCTATAGAAAATCATTCATTGACTTGGAGATACTAAAACACTCTGGAACATATAAACCCAAAACATTTCTTTATGAATTCAAATTAAAAGAGCATGCTTTCTTTTTAAGAATGTGATTACTTTTAAGTCAAGGTCATGATTTTTAGAGCTTGAGTCATCATTTCTTAACACTGGGAAATGGCACTGCCATGTGATTTTCTAGGAAGCAGAGTGTTTAAGAGATTGCAGCCCAGAAGAGGTTAGGACTTGGGATTACAGCCAGAAGAAAACAGAACTTCTCTCTTGTAAATTCTGCAAAAGCAATAGCTTCCCTCAAAGGGCTGAGAGCCAGAGCTGAAGACACTCCTGGTGCCTCGTTTTTCACAAAGACATGGAATGCAGTTGGTTCATTAAAGTCCTTTAGAGGAAGGACAGCCTGGAAGGACAGGCTAGAAAGACAGCCATTCACCCAGCGCCATGTAATGAGCCTCAGGAGAAAGAGACTGGCTGGGCTGGAACAGTGGACTAATGCAAACCTACGTAACATATCCTAGTCCCCAGACTTGACAGCTGGACAACAGGAGCCTATTTATCAGGTACCAAAATGCAATATTTACTATATCTGTCTGTCCAATCCTCCTGGAAGGGTGTTTCTTGCCATCACAGGAAAATGAGATGTGCATGAAACCAGGCCACAAGCATGACCCCATTAGACTATCTCAAGTCTATGGCATTAGTGGCAAGTGGATACAGGTTGTCCCATGCTACCAACAACACAAGAGAAAGCCTCAGAGAGAAACATTCAGCTGTAAATTGTGTTCTTACCAGAGAGCTTCTGTGCCCTTACAAAGACACTCCCATTTCGACTCAGTTTAGACTTTGATTCTGAGCCAGAGCGGCCCAAATTAAATATTGACTTCCATTTCTTGGACTTGGTAGATAATTTCCTCCTGGAAAGAAAAAAGGCTCAGGTAGTCACCAAACCTTAGAGACTTCTGCCTTTTTAATACCCTCCAAAGGCCTCTGAGCTGTCTCCCCTCAACATTTTCCATTTTTTTCTTCTCACACTTCTTTTAACTCTAAAGCATGAAAAGCATAGCTATACATCCAACCCTTTTTGGCTCATAGGTAGCAGTCACGCTGTAAGTGATTTATCTGTACTGATTTAATTATTTAATGGATGGAAAGACACCTAAGCCTTCAGATAGTTGATTCTGGCATCATGCTACAGCACCAGTGATTGAGCAATCAACCATGCTTGTCTCCAGAAAGGAGTGGTTTTCAAGGCTCAGACTATCCTGCAATAAAGCAAAGAAAAATTGCCTTTTTAACAGTGACATAATGTATGATAAATTCCAGGGAACTGATGGAACTGGTACCATTTCTCAGTGCTCAAAGTTATGTTTTAAAGACCACATCTTATGGCAAAAAATATAGGGATTCCTTAATGAAAAGTTGCTGTTAATGCTTCTCAGGCTAGTATTAATTTAATCACACATGTTATATATTCACATGCAAGTATCATGTTCTTACCAAAGAGGAGGAGGTATAAGGGAATTAAATCAATTTCTCATAACCATAAGAGGAAGTGGGACACCAGCTCCCTGTGTCTCTTTGGAAATCCCAGCTTTTGCAGAAAGAGGCTTTTTGTCCTAATATAATTTTTTCCTTGTATACATATTTCTTCATGAAGCTCTGTTTCACTTCCTTCATTCTTATTCTGACTCCTCCTTCAATCTCAGCATCTTTCAGAGCAAGAATTCTCTTAGCTCCCTGTCTTGCTCTCCACATTGAGCTTTCTATCCCCATATTTCTGCTTTTCTTTCTGATCAATACACAGACAAGTACAAATCAGTCCTACAAAGAGGATTAATATCTTGGGCATAGAACTTTTCTATTCAAGTAAGAAAGGAGAAGACACTCTAGAGGGACAAACTTCCTTTTGTCTTAAGCTGGTTATCCTCTTGCAAGTATTCTGTTAGATGACTCTTTTTTCTTTAATATATCAAGTGCCAATAAATATCTTTGTTCTGCTGCTTTCTGGGTCAGTAGATTAATGAGCCTCTTGCTGCAGAGGCTATAATCTATCAGAACCAGGCAGTAGAGTGGCTATATATTAACAGTTAGATAGACCAATAGATAAATACTTATTCTGGGCAGCTGTGCCAACAACTGCAGCAACCTCAGCTGAAATCAGACTCTTCTCCTGGCATAGGCATAGCTGGCATATCTTTCCATGCTGGAGTGAAAAAGAGCCTTCCTGATTGGCTGTAATTGCAGAGGAACCAGGAGAATGAAGAATCTGGAGCAGGTCAGTGGCACCAGCCGTGCCCTGGACCAGCCACCAGCAGGTGGAACTCGTGGACGAGCTCTGTCCCAACCTGCTCCATGCTCATCCCATATTTAGCCAACTTCTGGCTGGCACAAGGATGCAAAGACAATTCATTCCCCCTGCAAGAGGTCTGTGAGGTGCTGCCCTGATGGAGAGATGAGAACTAGAGAAGCTATGAACCCAGCACCTGCAATACTTCTCAGGAGTAGCTCTGCCTCTTTTGAGGACACTGAATTTTCTTTGTGTAGTGGCAGTAGACTCAGAAGAGTGCAGGTGTGGGGGTATCACATTAACAGAATTAACCCCCAATCTCACTGGGGAACCTGCATTTTTTTGTTTGTGCTTTACACTCCTCTTGTCACTTACTTGCTGTCAGGAAGGTCAACAACTGTGTGGAAGAGGGACCCAATTACAGGCACAATTTCAGGCAAGCTGTTCTCTCTCCTCTCCTTCCGAGCAGGATGGGATGCAGACAAACTCCGTGCCTGGGCTTCTTCCAGGCTTACCAGTTTCATTGGCAGGGAGGCCGAGGGGAGGGTCAAACTTTTCACAACTGATGAGCTCTCTAAAAAACAAGAAAACACATTCCAGCCTGGGGTGAGGAGAGATGGGAGCAAGAGCTTCATGACTTTATTTGACTGGAACATCTCCTGTGGAGGGGGGAAAGAAGTGGCACGTGCAGGGAGAAAGGCTTTTGTCAGATAAGCCTTTCAGCTCCCCAGCAACCTTATCCATCTGAGTACATTCCCAGCAGGGGCCATGCTTGCCAGCCAAAGGCTGTGTTGTGTGGATTTGCTTCCTCTGCTGCAGACACTTCTGAGTGAAGGAGGTGTCTCTGAAAACCACCAGGATTCACACATTCCCTTCACTCCTCCCTCACTCCCTTCCTCCATCTCGCCCTCACCCTCCCCCAGTTTTGGAGCAGTTCAGTCCCTGATCCCAGTTTGGTGCCTAGTTCTTTCTCTCACTTCCACATCTTTCTCCTTGTCTCATTGCAGGACAGGGGATTGTTCTAAAAACCAGCATTACTTGAACTTTCTAATCCATTTCAGGGCCACAGAAAGCAGTCTCACTGATAGCCCAGAGAACTGAAAGTGTCTGTTTACGGGAGGAGGGGGAAAGCCATGTTTGGGTAAAGATGGGCAGAATAAGCTGACATAGGGCTGGAAAGCAGAAAGGTGGATACTGCCTGAGTATTGAAGGTATCAGAAGTCTTTTGAGTGTGTAAAATGGGAAGGTGCATATTTTTGCAATTATGTGAGGTCACTGTGGATCCATGCCTTCTCACTTCCCAGTCTTTGCCAATAAAACCATCACTAAAAAGCAAAATCAGCATCTCTGAAAACTATTGATGTCCCAGGAAAAAGATACCTCTCTTTTATAAAATGTCCTCAGGAACACGATATAAGTTTTTGGAGCACAAGATTTTTTTTTTCCCGGGAGTGCCAGGGAGTGTGACCTCTGACTTGGGTGGAAATAGTGGCTGCAGGGCAGGTATTGTTGGTATGAGGAATTGTAACTGGAGAAGAGATGAGACTGTGGCTGATGGACTTACAGAGAAAGCTTAGACCAAGACTGAGAATCAATCAGGTGGTCTTCCTTTTGTGGAAAGGGTTAAGCCATATGAGATCATGCAAAAGATGAGACATAAGGCAGCCTGAGAAAACACTAAAGGAGGCTAGTATTGAAAAAGAAAATGTTGAAGATAGGAATGAAGAAGACAAGAGTAATGAGATATTGGGCTCAAGGTGTCTTTGGGAAAGTCTGTGGTGATAGCAAGGGTTACTGTTCTTGTAATAATAGTTGAAGGGAGAGCTGAACTACATAGCAAGCGACACGTGAAGTGGCTCAGGGAGGTTGCTACCAATGTTCTCTGCAGAGCTGGCTTTCCTGTTGTTGTTGAAGATCTGATCCACATGGTTGAGGATGAACTCGATCACCAATTGCTGCACTCGCACCTCCAGGAAAGCTGCATCCCCATTGCAGCCAACTGCCTCAATCTCCTTGGACCTGCATGAGGAAAGAGAGGTACCAGCAGTGAGCATTGCCACACACAGCCCCTGGCAAGGACAGATAGGATTTCTTCCTGCAAGCAAGGCAACAGGGATGATTTCCCCACTCTTTCTGTACCTCTTCCTCTCCTTCCCTCACAGGCCCTCATCCTCTCTTTCCACTCTTAAAAATTATTTTCTCTTATTTCTTTGCCATCCCTGCTACTTCCTTTCCTGAATGTGTAATTTTCCCCACTTGGCTTTCACATCCTTCAGCAGGTAAAACTGTGACTCTCAAGTTCCATTCTTCTCCCTTTTTCCTGTTTTAGCTATTTCAAGGCTGGGCCTGAAAGACAACACAGGAACCTTCAAAGGCTGCTCCTAGATCCCTACTCAGTGCTTCAATCACCTCTCAGTGAAATCCCTTAGACTCTGCCCAGGTCTTCCCCATGCCAATTTCTTCAATACTTTGCTGTGTGCTCCAATAGTCTCTTTTCTGCCCACCCTGTGCTCCCACATTCTCAATCTTGCTCTCAGCAAAGGAATATTCCTTATCTTGACATGCCAAAGTGTTGCTGAAGAAATTATCTTTGGGCAATGGATCCTTTGTAAAGTTAATGACTGGTGTGTTAGATAACAGCTTGGGGCATTGCCAAGAGGATAACCCTGTGAGGAGACTGCAGTTGCATTGCTCGCTCCTTTCTTTTACTCCCTGGGACTTGTACTTATGAAAGATTGCAAAGGAAAAACAGACTTCATTTTTTGTTGTTTTTTTTTTTTTTTTGACAAGGACAGATGCTAGAATGAAAATGTCTCAGTAGTAAAGGCCCAATTTATGATATTCAACAGTCAACATTTGATTCATTTTCAGAACATCCTCTGCCATTTTTGGGATTCAGAATGGTGAGATAACTCTTTAGAGCATGCTTTTCAGGCCTGTACCTCTCTAGACAACATTCTTTGCCAGCCCAGGGCTGCCCACCATCACCTCTCTCCTGCCCAGCTGCAGTCCTGGACTCTCCCTGCACAGCTCATTCCTCTAAATGCAGGGGTATTGGATGGACAGAAAGGGAACTTTGACAAGATACAAAATACTTCATTTCTTTTTCCCAGATGCGATTTTTCCTTGTTCTGCTTAGCTCTACAACATAGCAGCCAAACCCCTGCCTGCATCTAATCCAGGCTTCTTCACAGCAGAGTGCCAGGCATAACAAACATGAAAAACTAGCTGGTGGTCTTGAGATCTGACACTGGCTGCCATTTCAAGTCCAGCAAGCTCATCTCAATTTTGCACAAGAAGATCTGGGAACAGGTCTCTAGTATTACTGCCCTGTTTTTCTCCCTTCTGATCCTTGCTGTCCCTCTCTGCCCTGCTGCAGAAGCACTGGCACCATCAAAAATGTTATTAACATTCCCAAGTGGTGAGTTAAGTCCTCATTTCTAAATCTATGCTCAACTTGCAAATAACAACTTTTTTTAATAAGAAATACAAAAACCCACAAGCTTCCTTGGATGCTGGCAGTAAAACCTTCGATTATTCAACCTAGAAGAAAAGCTGTTCGTTCTGCTGTGCTCTTTCCTTTAGTTGCTCAGCTTTTCCCTGTCCTTGCATTTCCCTCAGGTCATCAGGGTCAGATGCTGCCACTCCCCTTGGAGCTCAGGATGGTGCTCTGGGTTAGAGGAATCTCTACTGTACCTGAGGAGATTTGGAGCCCACACCAAGGCCAGGTTTCTGGTGTGCATGTTGGTCATGTTGCTGAAGGAGGCCAGGTGAGTCAGGTGCTTGATCAGGTATTCCAATGTTCTGCAGTGGTTTCACATAACAAAAAAAAAAAATGTGTCACATTACCAGGGCCTGCCTGCTGGGACAGCGAGGCTCAGAGCCATCCCTGTCCCCTCCCCAGGTGTCTGCAATGGCACAACAGAGCCCATGGGGCAGAGGAGTCACAGCACCAGCATTTGCATGGGATGGAAGTGAATATCTGAACAACTGAGCTCTGGGGTGGACAAAGGTGAGGCATGAACCAAATTATCCTTAGCATAATGGGAGCAAAGAAGATGGGAGATGGGTGGAAGAGGGAATGGGATGCTGCAAAGGCTGAGCTCTTAGCTCTTGCTCAAGCACCTCCAGGTTATCATCTCCTTACCACACCGAGGACACTGCCCAAGGCTGCCACAGTGGTCATACTTGGGGAAGGAGGATGGTAAGAGTGCAGCAGGGAGACCTTGTCCTGTCTCTAACAAAGGTTTGTTCAATGATATGTAAATGCCAGATTTGGAAATGGTGAGTCAGCTTTTGGAGATTGATTTCTGGAAATGAATCCTAGAGCTATTTCAGGCAATATTCCCTGATGAGGGTGAGGTCAGCACGCTGATCCTCAGCACCCCTGTGGACCCAATCTTACCTGTAATGTGATGGTGGCAGCTCCTGGATGACATTTTGAATTCGTGCCAGCTGCTCGTCCTCAGGGAAGCGTGACACTGCTTCCTGCAGGGACACAAGGAAACAGTACACCCTGGGAATGGACTCAGGGGAAAAGGAAGAGGGATAAGAAGGGTCACACGAGACACCCTGGCTCAGAGGGAATGCTCTCGTGTTACCCTACAGAGCTATTGGAAGAAGAAGTTTCTTTGTGTCCCCAGCACAACAAGAGATTTCCTGCACTGTCATTCCATGTCTCAGCACACCATGCCCAGACATTCAGACATGGTGGTCAGTATTTATGGGAGAGGGGAACTCAAAGACTTAGACCTTTGATTACAAATTACAGAGTTTGTTGGGGGGGTTTTTTGGCTTGTGTTTGTTTGTTTTGCTTTGCTTTTCATGGGATATTTTTTTGGTTCTTTTCACTTTTTTAAACTTAGGTAATGATGGATTAAATAAAAAGAGAGGAGAAAGAGAGAAGTGAAAATAATGGAAAAAGCAAAAAGCAATGACACCCCCCCAAAAAATAACCTGTTAAAACATGTTTTTCAAGTTGTGTTATGAGAACACATGTTCCGTATTCTTCAAAATAAACAATATTTTGACTGTCATAACAACACAGATGAGGGGATTATTTTTGTGGGTTTGCATTTTTCATGATGGAAGAAGCCTTAGCAGAATCTCTGCCCAGCAGATTAATAAATTCCCATACTCAGGGTTAGACAGAGTCAAGGTTATACTTCTCAGTCTTGAGCAAATCTCTGCAGACCAAGGGCTCAGAGAGCCATGAGAAGTTTTTGTCAGCATTCCTAAGAGTTCACTGCATTGGCATTCATCTGTTCATTTATTCCCTTTCAATATTTGTGCTGGGGGAGGACAAGCCACCAGCCAGTTCAAACAGTGCATGACTGTCTGGGAGCCTCCTCCTACCACCCCACTGCCACTGGAGTTTGGAGCAGTTCAAAGGAGGATGCTGCGACCCACAGCGCCAGCACAAGCTTTGCCTCCAGACAGATGTCAGCACTGCCAGGGAAGGAAAGGAAGGAAACAACCCTTCCCAAGCCAGCCATTGCTGAAGCATCATGAACATGAAATTACCAGCCACTGCTAGAGAAGCATCTTCCTGCAGCAGCCACTACAGCACCCCCTGTGATGATGCTACCACCTCTGGTTTTGTCACTGCCCCTTTCCCTGTGGATCACTTCTCATCTGCAACCATCAGCTAACCAAACTCTGCCAGTTTCCAGGCCAGAGAAGTGATGGCAGATCAAAGCAAGTGAGGTCACTAGTCAGGTATATATGAGATGCACATGCATTTGGTTTGCCCAAATTAAAGGCAGATTAACTCCTTCTAGTGATTTTACACGTGGCTATGGTGCCTTTAAAAAAAAAAAAAAAAAAAACCACAAGAAAAAACACAAAACCAGAAAACCAGAAATCTGAAGCATAAGAGCTCTTCTAACTTTAATACAATTTTCCAGTTGAATAGCCTTGTCCAAAGATGGAGACTGAGAGAAATAAAAACTTTAACTGGTGCATATAAAGCATTAGTGTTTCAACTAGATTGTAAACAATATTTTTCTCCCCTGGTGCACATTTTTATTCTCATATTCAACCTTCCAGGTCTCAAAGACCTAATGATTAGACAGCAAGTGAATATCAGCTTCTCTGAGGTCATGACCCATTCAATCCTCCAAGCCACATGTCTGACACACACGAGCTGTGCTTTTGAGACCTGAGGAGCCCTCCTAAACTGCAGATTACAGCAGCAGAATACAGAATTCAAGGAAGGACCAATAATTCCATTTCTTGCATATCTGTTCATCGTGGTATGAATTTATGCCATTTAATTTTTTTAATCTGCACTAGTGATTCTGGAAGGGCATAATTCATGAGCCCTGGTTAACAAGTGGAATAAAGTCCAGAGAGAGAAGCTAAGTTGGCCTCCTAGAGCTGGTCCCTCTATGCCCAGGCTAGAACAAGCCAAGCAGAGTCAATTTATCTGTCCTGAGAAACAACCATCCATCACTAGGATACAAGATGGCAATCATCTGGCAAAAAATTTATAGCCAGTGAGGTCATGAGTAGGATGTTACACCTGTGAACTTGACATAGTGATGACCAAAAGGCCACCCCTTCCCTAGTCATTAAGAATTTGACTTTCCTTAGACAGAAATCTCTGAATCACTGTGGTGACTCAAAGTGCAGCCTAAACCAGCTCAGAGCCAGCTCTGGCTCAGTCAGGCTGGGATTAGCATGTGTTCTTTATTCCTTCCAGCACTCATCTGCTGGAGTACAGCTGCCACTGTTCCCTGTTCAGACACCCCACACACACATAGACACACTCCTAGTGGGTTTTCTGCTCCTTGGGGAATTGGACTTTTTTCTTTCTTTCCTTCTAGTATCTGACTGTGCTTCCTGTCAGCTGGGTTACCAATTATAAATCCCTACTGAACAGGCTTACATGAATAATGGATTTTGTGGCTAAGTGGAAAAACTGAAAAGCCAGAAATTTTAAAAAAACACCCTTTTAGGTCAACCCAAAGTGATAACATTTTGGGAAGATTTTAGAAAACAACTGTTCAAGGTTGACCAAAAGCATTGCACTCAAACATCAGTTACATAAATTATAATTAAAATGTGGAACTATTTAACCCTTTTCTGAAAGACATTTTATGTAAGTTAGATGTGTTGATGAAACATTGAACCATTTCCTTTAGAAAATACTTGTAAGAGAAACACTCAGACAGTTACAGAAATGTTTTCCCTTTGTTTCTAAATAAAGCTATTTACCAAATGTATCTACTAAAAATCTGCAAGTCATCATCCCAAAACTTCACTTTTCAGCAAACATTCTTTCCTAAAAAGAAGTTTCCATCTAAATCTTAATGTTTCCTTTAGAGCATTTTTTCTTCCATAAATCAGTAGTGATAGCCAGGAAGACACTGGCCAAATAGCTCCAACAAGAATGAGACTCATCAGTTACAATGAATGGTTGAATAATACCCTGTATTTTCATCCTGACTGTCTCCAGCAATCCTACCCCATATCCTCAGAATCCTTATATCCTGAAGACACAGGACAATTTTTCAAATTTGCTCAGGATTTTCCCTGAAGATTTGACTATATACACCTTGAAACAAAGACCTATCTTACTTAAAATTTGGAACAGCAAGACACCTAACATTACTGCACAGCTGTCAGGCAGCACAGCGAGCCACTCCCACCCCAAAATCCCCAGCAGAGTCATGTCCCTAACAGCTACCTGACTTCTTACAGCAAGTTCCTGCTTGGCTGGTCCCATCTGGCTTTGCCCCACAGCAAGCACCCCTTGCACTGATACCTCTTCCCAAAACAGGCAGCAGGGAGATTTTGGGGAGCTTGTGAGGACCCCATGGATCTCTTCCAGTGCCTCCTGTGCCACAGTAGTGCCACTTGGAAGTGCTTGATTCGGGACAGAGACAACTCAGACAGAAACACCTGATTTTGCAGAACTTCTCCGCAACATCTAACATTTTTGGCAATGGCTGTCGCCTCCTCCTCCCAGCAAATGGAAAAGAGTAGGATGACAGAAATTCTTACCAAAGCAGAGATGTTTCTAGCACTGAGAAAACAATCTTTCCCTTCCCCCACACCAGTTATCTTAAGAAGTTGGTAAATTCTTTTAGCTGAAAGTGCATACCTTCAGCATGCAAGATTTCAGCCTCAGTGATGGGATGTAAATTTGCTAGTGTCATAAAAAAACTGAAAGTAGATTTAGAGTGCTAAAAAACAGGCAGCTTTAATAACAAGCATAGCTTGCTGTGCCACCTTTTAATAAAATATTATCTGTCATCAAAATTAGCCAAGTCTCTTAAAAATTCCAGCTTTGTGGTCTTATATTTCTGCTCCCCCGCAGTCTGCTCCTAAGCTCCAACTGTATCCACGTATAATCTATGGCTGTTTTCCAGAATCAAGTAACTACTCTTTGAATTGTAATCTCTTTAAACAAAGAGATTTCTGCTTGGCCAGTTGCCACTTTCCTCTGCCATTTGTATTTATAATGTGATCATGATGGACCTGATATGCCGTATCTGGCATAACCAGTATCCTCACTTGCAGCCCTACAAACGGTATGAAAAATGTGACAGATACAGAAAAGTTGATGCTTTACACATGGGCTGGACAATCAGTTGGTGCAGGTGTCAGGGGCAGTTGGAGGTGCAGGGACGAGGAAACCGCACCCCTGCGATTATGATCACAACCCCGGTGACCCAGAGGACTCAGTGATGGACAGTAATGAGGAAAAGAAAGAGAATTAGTAGTGCTGGGAAGAGGTGCACAATGGAGAGACAGCAGGGGAGCACTGCAGTGAAAAAAATAGCAAAATGAAGGGGAGGAAACAGCAGACAAACTGAGAGAAATAAACATGAAATGGTGAAAAGAAACAAGGACAGGGAAAGAGAGCCAACATGAGATGAGAAGGGAAGAGCACTGAGAAGTGTTTATATGGATAGATGCACCAGAAGTCAGGACATTGGAGTGAATCCCAAACAGCTGTCATGGAGGAATCTGCAGCACATCCACACTGCTGGAGAGGAACAAGAACAGCCAAGGGTCTCACCGTGAATTTCTTGTAGAGCTCATAAGTGAGGAGAGGGTTGGGCAGTTCCCTGAAGTACAGCTTGCAGAGTGACCCCACACAGTGGATGTCCTGGAGGTAAACTTCCCTTGTCAAATCTGGGCATTGGTCAGAAACAAACTCTTGTCTGAAAGAGCATGGAAGCATAACAATATGGGTGAATAAGAACTGTAGCAGGCCACTACTCCACCCTAAGTACTTGCTTACAGCTAGAGAAAAACAAATGGGAAAGCAGAGATGTCTCTGCAGGCTGGCCCAGATTGTGTCCCAAGCTCAGGCCCTGAAGTTTCAATTACTTGCCATTATCGCTAACACAGGGAGTGGACCTCAAACTGATATAAAAAGATTGCTTTGTCCCAGAGTGAGAGAGAGCAACTCGGCATTTGTGCTGAGACCCTCCATGCCTTTCCCACCAAGAGATGCAGGGGGAGATCTAGGGGTTTTTTTGACTAGTCCCTAAAATGTCGTCTTTCCCTGTTACCAACTTCAAAGATAGTTTATCTTCTGCATCAGTGTGGAGGTCTGTTGGTCACAGTCTGTACCTGAGGGACTAATGCCACAAAGGTACTGAGCAATGTCCCTGAATCCCTCTGACACTCCCAAACATGGCCCTTACCTCAACTTCTGTATGTTGGATGTCACTCCTGAGAGCCGGTAGATCCCATCCACGATGCCATGAGTCTCAATGAACTCCGCACAGCTCTTCAGCACGTAAGGGACTACGAGAGGAAAGCAAAGCAAAATGTCCAGTGAATACACACTAACAGCTCCCACAGGTCACCACAAAGGAGACAGTTCCATGAAAAAACAGCAGAGGCTCTCTGTGGATGCAGAAAGGATACAGCAATGACAGAAATACAGGGCAAATCAAAAATAACCCTTGCAAGGTGCCCTTGAGGATATGCTGTGGTTGTGCCATGCAATGCTCATTGACATGTGACAATGACTGACCCTGAAGTCACAGTAACATAGCAGAAAGAAAGGTAGGGTTTCCCTCTCTTCCTTTTTCTTCCAATATAAAATAAAATAAGTTATTTAATTCTAATTGAAAGCATGTGGTAAAGCATGAGGTCCTGGGAACCTCCACCCTCCTCAGTATAGAGCTCCAGCCTTGCTGAATTGTGCCAAAAGGTCTCATTGGCTTGGACGAAAATCAGAGAAGCATTCACACTTCCATATAAGCCTACATACCCACAGTTTAGTGCTCATAAATCCCAATGAGGGGGAATAAAGTTCAAATATTGACTAGATCTGCACACTGACAAAACCTGACATTGACTTCAAAAGAACTCCATCAGCATAACTAGACAAAGACTTAACCAGTCAAAGCTGAGAGGAGCCTGAGGCACAACATTTACATCCAGACCTGGACCCAAAGTATATGTTTATTTTTTTCCCCATTATATAGGTATAAGAACTCCCCATTTTCTTGGTCAGATCAAGCCTTCCTGTCCCCAGTACTATAACAACCCAAGCTATAACAATAACAGTAAGAAAGCCCTTCCTTATTAGGTGCTAGAAACTACTGTGTATTTAATGCAATGCTTCACACAGCCATAGGCATAAAAGTCAGTAAATGCACAAGTCAAAAGTTCCCAGCTATAATGCTGACTCTGCTGCACTGCACATTTCAAAAGCTGTATGGAGGAAAACCAACTAAGCCATAGATTTGACTGGAAAGCCAGGCATAGCAATTACTTCATCTTTGTGACACCCTGGAGACAATGCCTCTGGCTGGACCTTCCCGGAGCTCTCCTGCTCAAAGTTCAGGACTATAATGATATGTTAACGTGTGCTTCATCAGATGACATCCAAAGACAGCCCTCCAGTGACAGCCTGAACAAAAACAGTTAGTACATTATTCATTTTCATTATTTTATTATTTCCCATGGGAGCCACTGGGGCCAGAGCCAGTTCATGGGGTGGACCTGTCCTTGCCAAGCACTGCAGGGCACAGGCTCTGGAGAGAAGGGCTCCAAGCTTGCACCCACCTCAGTGACACACTGCCACTGAGCCAGTCAGTCAGGGAAGTGCTGCCCTTCTGCCTCCTGACTTGCTGAGGGAAGTAAAGAAGAAGTCCTTTTGTGTGTCCCTTCTCTTGTCTTTTGGCCAACCCAAATGCAGGCATACACAAAGTCTCAGTGATTACTTGGAAGCCTGAATGGTCCAAACAGACTAATTCTTCTCAGGCAAAGGACCTTCTCCAAAACAACAGGGAAAAATTGACTTCATGGGGTTTTTGAGCATGCACTCGTAACATGAGTACATTGGTCATGCTGTGTCACACTCAAAGCCCTTGTGCTGATTTTCAAGACCCTCAAGTTGTTGGGTGGAGCTCATGGCAGAGGCCCTAAGCCTACAATAGTGTTCATGAAACCAAGGAATTGCAAAGAGAACAGATGAAGTCTTCAGAGTGAAAGCTTTGTTCACAACAGTCACAAAGCTATGGTATTCTCTCCTCATGGACTTCGGAGGGAAGGTGCATCAGTGCCTTCCCGAAAGGAAAGAACCTGAGAAGCATTCCTTTCAGTGCATGCAACACCTGCTTGCTGTGCAGACTGAATGGTGTAGAAGGAGATAGAGGGGGGAAAAATAAGTACTAAATTTCCTTAATATCCTTCCAAGAAAAGTCCAAGTAGTGACACATCAAAAAAAGAGGACCTTCCTGTCTCTGAGTAAGTCCTGATTATCTGGAACTGCAGTAGGGAATTCAGATCATATGGTGATGAGAATGCTAAAAGAAGGGAAAGACAAATTACTTCAGGTCTGATTTCCATTTCTGGAAAATTAGGCTTTAACATCTTTATGGTAGAAGCTATGCATACATAGCATTATAAAATTTCCTTCTTGGTAGGGGTCTTGGAATAAATGACATGTAACCAGCAAAAATGAAAGTTAGGCAGATCCACGTCCACCTCAGATCTATCTGTGAGAGGATAGAAACCATTGAACTCCATGCAACCTAAAAAAAGAAGAATTAATTGAACAGAAAACATATTTGATCATGATAGCCACATGACAAGGTTTGTCTAAAGGTTAACAGTCTTTCATGGAGACAAACCTCATATGATGGTGTCTGGCTGCCAAAAAATGGGGTCCATGCACAAAGCATCCTTTTTGAGATACTTTTTAAAAACCTCCGTATTAAGAATAAGAAAACCACCTAAAAATGCACATACTGATGTTTGTTGTGACTAATTTGACCTCTTGAAAGTAAGAGCTACTAAATCACAAAAGTTTTTTGGCTGAGTTCTAAGTTTCCTTGGAGTGAATTAGGACAAGAGGCCTCAGGCAGGTAAGCAAACCCCCTATACAGAAGAAGAAGAGAAGGCTAGATCCATCTGTTGAGGACTGGTAAGCAAAAAACAGGGGCCTGAGGGGAACAACCTGCAGCAAATGTATAAAATTCAACCCATTTTTAAAAGTGGGTGAAAACTCCAGAGCAGAGACAACCTACAGATTGCAAATAGGAAATATACATTGAGCTCTGCCAGTATCTCTTACAGCAGCCCTGCATTTTAACTTGTTTTTGCAACCCTAGACTTCTCACATATCTCTGCCAGTGCCCTTCACTCATCATGCACAAGATTTCCTGCCATACCAGGTCTTTGGCTCATAGGAAGAGAAACAGTCAGTTATGCTAAAATTTGTGGCAGTTTTGTGATGTCAAAAAAAAAATCCCATATAAGACACTTTTCACTTGCAACTGAAAATTACAGACTTCAACCTCAGATCCCTGGAGGTGAAGGGACTACATCGACTTCCTGCAAATCAAACCCCTAAATGCAGCACTTGTATGGAACTGGAGCACAATAAATGTTTTCTTTGAGCAGGACCTGTAGCTCTGGCATTCCTGAGCTGCTCTGATCTCCTACAAAGCTTAGCCTTTTGGGCTTTTGGGGCTGGTGAGGTTAGAGCAGCAGTGAGCAGCTCTCTCCCACTTCCAGGAGTTTCTGAGCTGGTAGAATTATTTCAGACATGGCTCCTGATGAACTGAGGCTGGGATCAACCCTGAATGCAGGAAGGTACAGACTCTGGCATGTGCTTTACAGCAGGTCTCTATCAGAGTCACAGGGCATGTAAATCACAGGGCTGGGTGTCTCCCAAAGGAAGATCATACATGGATGGGGATTTGCAGCAGGGGCTGTACATGCAGGCATAGAAAGCAGATGGGGGCAGGGAGTCCAATCTTGACACTCCTATAATGAACACTGTGCTGGAAGCTTGGAAGGTTTAGAAGCTGGAAGGGATGGCTGGTGTCACACAGACCCCGCTGGTTCTGCCAGACAGTCCAACTGTCCTCATTTAAAACTACAATAGAAACCAGATGGAGGAGGACGAGAGCGCATGGAGCAAGGCATCAGTCAGAAGGGAAATTGAGTTATAAACATACTGCACACAAAAGACAATACTTCTCTTCCCCTAGACGAAAATAAACCAGAAGGGCAGTCGCAGTAACTCATTCCACTCTCACTGGGTATCACCTCCAAGTTCAGCATGCACAGACGTGCACCTTCACCAGGGTCTTTTCCAAGACAACAGCCCATGCCACTTCTTTACAGGTGTCTGCTGCTCTCACTGGGTCAGGCACTGTGTTGTCCTCCTTCTGATGCCCCCAGCTTGCAGTGGCAGCAGTGGGCACTGAAATGCCCACCTCCCAGCACTGCTGACTCTGCCCTCTCCTGTCCCTTCCCACCCACCAGCAAGGTGCCCATCCTTTGCCGGCCTGACAAAGGCTTCATCTGGCACTGGATTGAGCATTTTGGATCCCCAGGCAGCCCAAGGTGGAGAGGTCACTAAGAAAACAGGGAGTGATCCCCTCAAGTGACCAGTGGGAGGATGGCCACCTGGCTTCCCACTAAAGCCAGCAAAGAGCAAGGAAAATGCTGGTCCAGCAGGAGATGCAAGCAATATCCAGTGACTTTCAGTGCCACCTTCCAGAAGAAACTCTAAGTCTCCATGGGGTAGAGACACCCTACCCAGTCAGTGTGAATAGTGCCCAGTTAAACAGTAAGCTAGCCTGTACTGGGCCATGTGCTCAGGGTACACTGCACTGAACGGACTGAATAGCAGCATACTTAATTTTCTACTTTATCCTTCTGTCATTTTCTTACACTACTCCTTGTAAGGATAAGCACTGGTTTCTGCCACATGGTGGAGGTTTCATGTCCTCTCTAATTTTATTTTAATTTTAGTTCAGCTATTGGGAGGATAAATGCAGACCTTTCATTTCACCTGGAACAACTTTTTGATTTTTGACTTGCAGGAAATAGTTTGGATTTTTTTTTCATTTCTCCCCACAAAAAAAAAAAAAAAAAAAAAAAAAAAAAAAAAAAAAAAAAAAAAAAAAAAAAGTTGTAGACATTTTTATTTCATCATTTTGGTTTTGTTATACATAAGTATTTTTTTTAAATTGTCTTCAATTACCCTCAATAATAGTGCATGTTTCCTATCATGCTATGTCAGTTCCATGACAATAAAGGTCAAAAGTCTCCTGTTTCAATTTAAATTACTAAAATAGGAAAGACTTCCTTTTAAAAAGTGTTTCAGTCTATACTAAGTGCAAGTTATTTTGTACAAAAAATAATGAAACAGAACCAACTAATATATTCAGTTGGCCTCCTAATCACAGGAAAGGAAAAACATTGTACAAATGGCAACATACTTGATCATCAGTATCTCTGATATTTTTCTGCATTTCCTGACTTTCTACTGTAAA